TTTTTTTTTTTTTTTTTTTTTTTTTTTTTGGCAGCTGTTCCATCCTAAATTTCCTTTACCATCAGAAAGCTTTTGTTTGCATCCAGTCTCAGAGAAACCAGTTTGATTTGATTTAATATCAACTTTTTGTGTGTTTTCTGTGGAGAATTGAGTTGTAGAGTTCTCCTGGTCTGTCTTAGAGGATGGTACAGAGGAAGAGGTGCTCATCTATCAGTCACTGTTGGCTAGAAAATATGTATGCAGATTTCTTAGCTGACACAGGGGTTTGTTCATAAGGCTGCAGAACGTAAGTAGTACTAATCAATGAAAAAATGCCTTTTGATGGCAGCCATTGCAAGATTTACAGTGGTAGAGACCTAATCTGTATTAACATCAATAAGTTTGACTTTTTTTTATTGCTGAATTGCAGCTACAGTTAGTATGAAACTGAGCAATCTTGACCAGCAACTAGTTGCTGGTGCTTATTTTGCTGTGTCCATGCTGTACCCTATCTCTTTGTGAAGGGCTCCAGAGACACTAACTTTTTCTTGGTATATGAGGAGAAATTCTAATTTTCTTCTCTTCTGTCTGAACTCTTGGTGCATGGTGAGGGGCAGGGCAGATGGAAGCAGCGATAGATGCTGCATGGGGAAGGCAGGACGTATGTTAGGAAAACTCTTAAGTTTTGGACTGTGTTGGTTATTTATTTAAAGACTTTGCTGTCTTTTGCTGTGATTGCATGGGTTGGGGGGGTTACCTCTCTTGCTCTGTGATCTTAGTGTCATGGATTTTTACAGATCTGTGGCTTCATCCGCTACATTTCCTAGACTGTTAATAAACCTTACATTATCTTGATTGTGGTAGAGTAACAGCTTTGTTAATGGTATGGAGGATACAAGGAAGATTGCACCAGAAAGATGATTCAGTGGTATACCAGTTAAAAATGTTTGTGGGTAACAACACTTCAGGCGAAGGTGTGTTATGAGCTTCTGTTAGCTTTATGTATTCAGCTCTCCAAAAGATGCACATATGATCCCTTTTTCAAGGTGGAAAGGGGTCTGACAATACTACTTGGTCACTTATATATATTTGATACTACAATTTAAAGCTTTGAGAAGTTCCCCACTCTTGATACTTAAAAATATTGGGTAATTCTGCTGTTCAGTCATTCTTGCCTAGCACGTTGTCAAAACATGCATCGCTAATGGTGACGGTTCACTAGGGTCTTGTTTAAGAAGAGTAAACTAGATGAACTTCTCTTTTCCACCAGCAAGTAGGATTTCCTTTTTGAAGGTGGGATACATTTTCAACATACACGTATATGTGAAGGGGGCATTGAAGGAAAAACTTTCCATCAGTGGATGTTATGCTAGAGAGGTGTGCTTCCTTTGCTTCTACCCTTTTTCCTTGCATCCCACCCCTCTTAACCTCCATTTCTTTAGTTTTCTTTCTTTCCAGTTCTGATCACTGATGGTGCTGGTCAGCTGACCCAATTCACTAAAACAATTAGCAAACGAGGAATAAATTACAAGTTGAACTATAGGACTCAAAGCAGCTACTACCCAACAAGCATGTCAATTCTTATATTCCTGTTCTTGTGTAATCCTGCTGAATTGTTCTCCCTTTAGTTTATTTGATAAGGGAAATAACTTGTCAGCATTTGCCTTTGGTGTTTTGATAGGCAAACTTTTCTGGATCTTATGCTCCTGTCATACAATCTTGTAATCGTTCTGAGGACTTTTTTCAGAAGTTGTTCTTGCTAGTGGCGAAAATTCTTTGATTGGGGTATCAAGCTCATGCTGTTGCCTACTGCAAAGTGGCTTGAATGTGTAAAGAAAGCTGTTATAGAGATCGAGTTTATCATCATACTTGTATTGCATCTAGTAATCTAGTTTAAATAGAAATGAGCACTGGCGTGCCAGTGCAAATGGCATTGCAACCTTTTCTAAGCTATCCTCTTGTATTAAGATGCCTGCACTGAAACAGTATGTCAAAGTTGTCTGAGTCCATTTTTGGTAAGCTGCTTATTAAACTAATGTGTAATTATTGTGTAAGTGTGTCTAAATCATCTGGGAATTTTCAGTAGGAAGCTAAAACTAGAAGCATGTGCTTGACCTTTTCAATGGCTGTGAGGCAAGAGTTTTTATACCCAACAGTTGTTGATAGCCTAATATCTTTGTATAGCCCCTTGTTCCTGTTTTAAAAAGTATAAGGGCCTGCTAGCAAGCATACTCTAAGTTAAACAGAAGGCAGGGCAGAGAGGTACCATGCTCTGCCTTTTGCCTAACTTCAGGCTAACATGGCTAACTATCTCTACCTTTGTAGAGCAAAGGTTGCTTTAATGAGCTTTCAAAGCATTGTATAGACAGCAACACAGTTTAGCCTTTTAAAATTTTAAATCACTCCTGTACTGCTGCTATTACAAGTAGCACCCAATTACTATAATAAAAAGATGCTTTTTTTCCAAGTACTTTGTCCATTAGTGTACTTTGTGTACCATTAGTTTCCTTTGTTTGTGTAGGCTGGTTACATTGTTAGGAGGGATACACATTTTCAAAATAGAAAATGTCATTAATACTTCAGCAGTAGCCAAGGGGTCAAAGTTATGTGAAAGAACTGAAAATATTTTGTTTTGGCTGAAGTTCAAACTAATTGCTCTGTGGGGAAAAATGAAAGTTGCAGGGTAAAGCAATGATTTGATTCAGAGTTAAATTGGCAAACTCTGTCAAAAAAAAAAAAAAAAAAGTCTAGATGTTTTTTACTACTGTGCCATTTCCTGACTTTCTCTGTGGCTGTGCTGATTAGCTAATGACTGTAGATACTGTCTTAACAGCATATCAGGCGATTCTTGGTGCTGATGTGTCTGAGGACCATAGACCTTTCCATTTGTAGACCATATGAAACGCATCATCCAGCATCTGACTTCTGCTTCCAGCTGTCACTTCTATAAACTGCTGATTGGTCAGTCAAATTCTGCTTGAGAGAGAATTACATTTTGTGGAGAATGCGGGGTAAGATGAATAAATCTTCTCCATTTGGGTATGACTGGAGGGCAGGAAGGAAACGAAGCTGAGGCCAGCCATCCTTGGCCACATTAATTCAGAGTTCAAAAGGGTGAAAACAATGGGAGCATGGGGTAAGAATGGAAGCAGTGAGAACACAGCACTGTGTGGATGGAGGATTCGTTTTTATGTTTTTTGTTGTTTTTTTTTTTTAAGGATTGTTTTTTCAGTTCCCCGTTCATTAACTGAAAACAATTGGAATTAGTTGCCATCATAAAATCTGCTCTTGCCTCACTTTCCTTTTGTGCGTACCCTGACCCTTTCTTCCAGCCAGAGGCTGCTGCTCTGCTGTCATCTCGCACAAGTAACTTTTTTGAAGGTAGCACAGTAGAGGTCAATCAGTACCAGAGAGATGCTAATTACTGGAGACTAGGCAAAGAAAAGGGAGAAGCAGCAGTTCAGTATTTCATAACTCTTGCCCCCCGATCCTTAAAGGTTTCCACATCCTTGTGTATCGCATACCACCCTTGCTTAACTCTTTTCACTTGCCATTTAATCCTACTTCCTACTTCCCCATAAAAACGTATGTAGCACTGTCCCTCATAGGACTAGATCACTAGGTAGAGGCAGGGCACTGTGTGCATGTGCCTATTGGTACGTGAAGATTGTTAGAATATTTCATATTTTAAGTAATTCTGTTTAGTGAGTGATGTCCACAAATATTATTCTCGTATAAATCTAATAAATGGCAACTTATTCCTTGGATACCTACAAAACAGGAGAGCAAAATAATTGGTTTTTCACTGTATTTATCAGAATCTTTTTTTTAAAGTAATACTGTCTTACAATTATAGTGTCCTGATTTGAAAAGCACAGGTGACTAAGTATACCTATTGAAAAACTAGCTCAGGTCAAACTGATGCAATTTGATGTCAGCAGTGCCTGAAGAAGCGCTGAAAAACAACTTCCTAATATAGGTTTGTATGATGAAGCAGCAAAGTGTTTTTTCCCTTCCTTTTTGGTTCAGGTTCTGCTAACTGATCCTTTTATCCTGTATATGACCTTTTTCTTTTTTTTAGTGTTTAAATAAGGAATATTTAGAAAAGAGAGTGCAATCCTGATCCTGCACCTGGCAGTCTTTCCTGGGAAGACGCTTGCACATAACCAGAGTCCCAGTGATTCCAGGGCAACTCTGTAGGTCAGAAGTTCTGTCCATGTAGATCTGTTGCCAGATTGGAGCTTTAACATTGAGCCCTATTTGGTTTTTGGGAGGACTATCAGAAAAAATGTTTTAAAATAATTGGAATGGTGAACTTATGAGCTTATTACTATATTGGAAAAGTTCAATCCAAATTAGTGTAAGAACTGAAGATATTTATGACATGATGTCAGGTTAAGATCTGAAGTGCTTGCTGAAAAGCAGCTTCCATTGAAACCCATCAAGTGTCTTGTCTGAGTAACCATGTTGGCATCTGTCCAACAGTAGGTGCAGTGCCTATTGTTTCAATAGTTATGTAAGCCGGAAAAGCATGGGGTTTGAAGCTTACTGTGAAATTCTTCTGAGACAACAATCTTAGATAATATGTTGAGGACATCAAATGTGTATCTTGTTCTTTTTTTCTTTTTTGTTTATAAGCCTTGAACTAGACATCGTCCTAAATGGAGTATATCTTGAATCATTTTGCAGCTCGAGATGCTGATGAGAGAGAGAAGTGGATTCATGCTTTAGAAGAAACTATTCTTCGTCATACCCTTCAGCTTCAGGTAAGTTGATCATAATTCTTGAACAAGATCAACAGCATGTGATTAGAAGGTGTTTTGGATCCATGACAATTTTTCATAAGCTGGCTGAAGGATGAAATACGTAGATGTCTAGTTTTAAATCTCTGTAGGAGTAGATCAGTTTGAGATTTTAAATTTACAGATTCAGTGCTGGGAGCAGTGGGGGGGGGAATAAGGGATGCAGAAGATAATTGTGTAAAATCTCTGTATTTCTTTGACTTTTCTTCATTAGGCATCTCTGAGATCTGATAAATATGACAGTTAATACTTTTTCCTTATTTCAAATGAATCTGTTTGGGCTGGATATTGGTGGTTCAGTGCTTATCTGGGGAAACCTACTTGGATTTCCTAATTTAATATACTGTGTTTGTGACAGTCTACATAGACTATATCATATTTTCTCACGTGACTGCACTTTTCCTCCCAGAACCGGCTGGGAAAAATTGGGGTATGCATTATACTTAAGGAAAAGGGCTCCTGGTGAGTCAGGAATTTTTCTGGGGGGAAAAGGCATTGGAGTGGTGGCAGGATTAATAATTACAGTTTTAGAAGCCATGGCGACTTTTAATGCTGCCACTGCTCCATTTCCTTCTTTTGGATCTCCTACCCCTCCACCATGTGGCTCCAGAGCTGACAGTGGGTCAGGCTGTGGCTGTAGCGACCCCAAGCCTCTGGTACTTGCCTGTACTCCAGGGTAAGGTTTTTTTCTCCTCTCCTCTCTCGGGGCCTTTCAAAATAGGGTGGATGTGTGTATTAGGGGGCACGTGTGTGTGGGAAAATATTTCTCTTCAGTACCTAACAATTTTTGGTTTTGAGAAAAGGGGTGGACTTTAATCTCGAGTACTAAAACTGGGTCTTGAGAGATCTAGGTTCACTTACTGGTGTTAGCACAAGTTTCTTGTGTAATCTTGGGCGCATTGCTCAATTGTTTTCTTTTCATGGTTAAATTGAGTACAACACTTTATTCCAGCTCTTGTTTACTAAGGCTGCAAGCTCTTTTGGATTTTTCTCTTATTGAATTTGAATGTTGCCCAGCGCAGGGGTGTCAAAGATACATAAGGCCTTTGGCGTGGCTTGTGGGGTCCTGAACCAGTCCTGCATGCTGCATGCAGCGTACGCCACATGTGGCGTGCGGGGCTGCTGTGGTGCAGTCTAGCCCAGGGGCTGTCCCTGTGCCTGTCAGCTGACCCGTGGGGCTGAATGCATTTACCTCTGACCTAGCACAATGGCACAGGGTCTAGTCTTCCCTCCTCTCAACATACAAATCATACAAATATTTAAATGACTGGTATTATTTATATTTTTATGTCCCAGTCAGGAACTAGAGCAGGGGTGGGCAAAGTATGGCCTGTGGGTTGAATCTGGCCCAACAATTCATAGTAGTAGTTCATAGTTCGGGGGTCAGAAGGGACCTGACTAGATCATCTAGTCTGCCCCCCCTGCCACTGGCTGGAGCACACACTGGGATCACATGACCCCAGACAGGTGTTCGTCCAACCTCTTTTTGAATTTACCCAAGGTATAAGTGAGGACCACTTCCCTAGGAAGTTGGTTCCAGATCCTAGCCACCCTAACAGTAAAATAGTGCCTCCTAATCTCTAACCTGAACCTATTCTCCAGCAGCTTCTGGCCATTGTTCCCCATCACCCTGCTGGGGGAAATAGGGCCCTTCCTATTTGATACTGATCTCCCCTAACGAGTTTGTAGGCAGCCACCAAATCCCCCCCTAAGCCTCCACTGGCTGAGCCTGAACAGGTTCAGGTCCCTCAGCCTCTCCTCAAAGGGCCTGCCCTGTTGCCCTCTGACCAAGCGGGTGGCCCTCCTCTGAACCCTCTCAAGGCTGGCTACATCCTTCTTAAAGTGCAGTGCCCAGAACTGGACGCAGTACTCTGATTGTGGCCTGACCAATGTCGCGTAGAGGGGGAGGATCACCTCTTTGGACTGGCTTGAGATGCATCTTTGGATGCATGACAAGGTGCAGTTGGCTTTGCTGGCTGTGCTCTGGCATTGGCGGCTCTTGTTCAGTTGATTGTATCTGGCCTGTGGTTGCCCCTGCACACTCTCTGTGTGGGGCTGAGCCCTGCCCACTCCTGCCTGGAGCAGCTTGCGCTGAAGTCTTGCCCGCACCCACTGAAGGCCCCTGGCCAGTGTGTACAGCTTCCTGCTGCAGTCACCCAGGTACTGCTTGGCTTCCCCCACCGCCAGTGGCTCCTTCTCCTGCAGGGAGAAGTGTGGGGAAATGGCAGTGGCAGCCATGGGATGCATGCAAGGCACCCCATGCCCAGCCAGGTGCAGGGGAAGCTGCTGCTGGGTGGCTCCTGCTCCAGTGCGCGGGACTCTTCTACCCACTCTATCCACCTGGCAAAATGAGCAACCACCTGTGGGCAGCTGGAGTGGTGCAGCAGAGGCAGGAGGAGTAGGAGCTGCTGCTGGAGGTGGGGGGAGCTGAACCTGGGCAGCAGCAGGAGCAGCTCCATGGGGGGGGGATGTGCATGCTGGCTGGGGCGGTGCATGTGGGAGTGCAGTGCAGGCTGCTCTTTGCAGGAGTGGGCAGGGCTTAACCCCATGCAAAGCGCTGCGGGGGCCACTGTGGGCCAGATGTGGGGCGGGGGCTGGAATGCACCAAAACCACACCCCAGGGAGCAGTGCTGCCTGTGCCCCTGGCACCCCTTGCTCCCACCCCAGCCGGCTACTGGGAGCCAGCATGCAGGCAGCCCCCCACACATGTACACGTCCCTCACAATATATGAGTAAGACTTTATTTTGCACTATTATGCAATTGCCTCTTTATACACTATTCAAAAAACATAAATTGTTTTTTGAAGTAAAATTAAAATCTGTTATAGTAGGTGTTTGAGTCACTTTTTAAGTATAATTTGTTAAAATGATATCTTCTGAAAGATTTCTGTGTGCAGCCCTCCACAGCTCATGAAGAGGCCCACCAGCTGAAATAATTGCCCATCCCTGAACTAGAGCCTTGTGATGGGCACTGTTAAGAGTTTTATTTAAAAGGCTATTATGAAAAGAGGGGAAATTTTTATATGAAGATTGAGAGGAGAGGTTTCAAAGTCATTAGGGTAGTAGAAATAAATAGTCCCTAGCCAGAAGGTTTACATCTGAGGTAACAAGGGACAGCTTACAGGAGAGTGAAATCCCACGAATGTTCAGTCTTCATAAAACAAGTTTCTGTCTTCTTCACAAGTTCAACTGTTGTTTTGTTGGCAGACTTTTTTTTTTTTGGTGTGGATGAGACCAAACTGATAAATGTACTTTCATATTCAAAGGGTGCTTGAGATGAGCAAGTATGTAGTTAAGTTGGTAATCCATACATAAATATCCGGCGTGTTGTTTTTCCTCCTTACGTTGCCTGTCAGGAAATAAAGACTAGTTGTAAGAATTCCTATTCCTCCTTCCCAAGTAAGAGGAGGATTGTGGGCTATACCTGAGCACCGTACACAATAGAGCTCTTCCTGGTAGAAAGTCGTGTTTGGTACAGAAAAGTGAGTGTTTTAAACTTGTCACCACATAGTATAGATCTCAACATCTAAAACAGGGGCATCACATCCATCTGGCCCTGTGGTGTGTAGTCTTGTTTGGGTTTTTTTGTGGTTTTCATCTCATCTGCTCAAAAACCTTCTGGCCGTGTTTTAAAGGCATTACTGCAACTTCTGAGGTGCCAGAAGAACCCGGCCTTGGCTGTTTCAGTTTAGAAACGTTGTGTTGCTGAAAGGAGGGGATACGAAGAGCAAGGCTTATCATCTTTCTCTCCTGTGGCAAATTTCTTTCTTCGCTTCCCCATCTGGATCCGGCGGCGCTGGGGCCGGGCGTGGACGAAGCGCTGGCAGCGCGATGCCCGGCTCGCATCCACGTCCCACGTGTGCTCGACTTGCCCTGAAGATCCCGGGTCTGGCGGCGCTTCCAGCCCGGGCGCCCGGGTCCTTCTGGCCAGGGCACGGGGAGAAGCCTCCGGCCCGGCCCGGCCCCGCCACGCGCGGCCGGGGCTCTGACGGCTCCGGCACGTGCAGCCCGGCGCAGGGCGTCTCCCGGGGGGCCGGGGCG